ATCTGTATTCTTTTCTATTTTTGAGAACCCAAACCTTGTCTTCTATTTCTGAAGTCTTCACATAAATTGTAGCCCAACCTGTTATCTTTCATGAGTAAAACGAATCAAGTCTTTGTCGTTTTTATATTGAAAACTATGTCGAAATTTTGATCGTCGTGCAGGCAATTTTGTTAGTAATCATAATTGTACAGAGCTGCCCATTCCTTGTTGTTTTGAGCCATCGTCCTTAAGTCGAAAGTTTTTGAAGTCTGAAAATGATTTATAGATTTACCTCTTGTGTTTCTAACGACAAAAAAAATCATTCCATTATCAGTTTTGTATAAAATGTTACGTTCGAAATACTATCACTACACGAGCAGTTTTTTTGTCAAAAGGACAGCAGTTTGTTGCCTTCGAGGTCTTCACTATAAATGTAGATCTATCTCTTAAATTTCCGTAACTTCAAAAATCAGTCCTAAATGTTTTCTACATCAAAAATTATGTGTGTTTTACGGGGACTGCGCGAGTAGTTTTTCTGTCAAAAAGACAGCAGTTTGTTGCCTTCGAGGTCTTCACTATAAATATAGATCTATCTCTTAAATTTCCGTAACTTCAAAAATCAGTCCTAAATGTTTTCTACATCAAAAATTATGTTTGTTTTACGGGGACTGCGCGTGGAAGAACTACCCATTTTTCATCAACTTGGTTTTTATGTTTCCACTCGTCCGTTTTTTAGTCGTTCGACCCGTTTTCGAGTCAAAAATTAAATTGTAACCTCGTGACCATTGTTCCGATTCTTGTTCCAATCCTCTGAGAGTTCTAAATTCTACAAAATTTCCACGAACTACTTAATCGATAATTTTCGACTAAGTATGAATTTTCGTGAAGTTCCCGATTTATCAAGAGAAGTATTTTGAGATATTATCTTGATTTAAAATATAGGTTCCTTGATTTAAAATGTAGGTTCTGAGGAGTCGAGCCTCACCTACTTAATGAGTTGTTGTGTGATATCTCCATGTCGTCAGAACAGTTGGGTGTTTATAAACCTTACCATGTATATTATTCTTTATAATTGCTTGGCTTGATAATCAATGTATGCATGTGAACCGTTAGTCTATAAGAGTGTTCTCACATTGGTGTTGTGCCGACGTTCTACTATTTGTGTCTAATGAGAGGTTTCTCCCGTTGATAGAGTTCTGACGGTTTAGCTCCCGTTGATGTTGTGCCGGCGGTTTAGATGTAATCACATTAGCGTAGGGCAATATATGGAGGTAGAATAGATGATTTGTGTTCATGCTGCGATTATGATTTTAAGTCATTATACTGAATACACTGCATGGTATTCCCACGGCGAGCTAGTTGGTTTGCTCACCCCCATTATTTTCCCCCTTTCAGGTTAAGCTGGTGGCAGCGGCGAAAGACGGGCGAGTGGGGTCATATTTGCTTGTCATTGAACTGTTTATGCTTTTGCCTTATTATTATTTTTACGCCAGATTGATACATTTGTGTTGGGTATTGACTTGGATTATGAACTGAATTAATATGCATGTTTTGAGTTCTGAATTGATGATATTAATATTGTTTTGATCTTCCATACTTGTATGGTGTTATTAGAATGCTAAGTGTTGTTCTGGGATTGTTTATTCCCAGTGGCTTGAGTTGATACTTAAGGTATGAATTGAGTTTGAATTGAGAAATGTCCGTTAATCAATTTTAAAGCGGTTTGCGAAGATTTAACTCTGATTTCTAGAAAAAATCGGTATTTTCCTTATAAAAATAACGGGCGTTACAATACACATGCCCATGCATCTTAGACCTAAATGACGTCACATAACACTAATGACATGATTGGTATGATGGAATGAAATTTCGTAGGAATGGAATGAATTGAAGAATGGAATGATTATGGGAATGGAGTGAAACATGTTTTGTCATTGATGTGTTTGGTATGCAGAAGGAATATGACTGGAATGGAATGACATTATCAATTTTTATTATAAAAATAAATAAAAGCGTTTTTTTAAAAAATAATATACTTTTAATAAATTATATATAAATGATTTTTTAATAATATATTTNGCCCACAGTACTTGGTTTTCGAGTAGGATGGGCTAAGCTTCTTTCTTCTGGACAAACAAAACGAGTACTCAAATGAATTCCAGATAACATCCCCAAGGCTCTTTTCTAACTTACAGGAAAAAGTTTCCTCTTGGGGGCAAGTCTGGTTTTTGGGTCCACCGCCGCTATCGTCTGCAATGCCACGGGTATGTGTGCGATAGCAAGACTGATGGAGAAAGACTCTTGAGGATAGAGCTTGGCTGATTAAATAATATTTTTTAAATTATATATAAATGCTTTTAGTTTTATTTTTATATAAGTATGTAATATATCTAATTAAAAAATAAATAAAAATAAGCTTTCAATTTTTTTATTTGATTTTTTTTGAAAAAAATAATTTTATTTATATATTTTAATCATGATTTATAATATATATTATATATTTATTTTTTATTATTATTTGTTACATTTATTTTTTGAAATATTGATTCCTACACACATGGGAATGAGAAAACTTTCCATTTACTATGGAATGGCTAATCCCATGGAGATGGGTTTTGCCATTCCCATTGGAATGGTCATTTCTTCCCAAAAAATATACCAATCATGGGATATGGAATGAGTAAGGGAATGATCATTCCATTTCATGTCATTCCTTCCTACCAATCATGCTATAAATGTTTAATCCAACAAACTAAGGTAAAACGGCACCTTTTTACTTAATGGAAAACGTGAGACTTAAGATACATTTTACATCAAAAAAGAAAGAACAACTTTAGCTCCTTTGCACAGCATAGTAACTCGAACTTTGATCTTTATTCCAAGACTATTTGTTATAAATAATAGAGGAAACTCAAATAATATTCTAATTAATTATTTTACTTTTTCAAGAAAAAATCTGCATGATTTCTCTTAATCTAAAAAAAATTACAAGCGCGTGTAATATTGGAAGAGCTCAGTTATTAGATTAGGATTTTTAATAATTATAAAATTATCCTTAAGGACTATTATCACTAGGATACTTAATTAAATTTTACATTTTTACCATTAAAGTTATATTAGACATAAGCATATTTTAGTTCGTGCACTTTCTTACAATATGATTATTTCTCACGGTTCTCACACTAGGACTTGGTTCTCATTTGAACCACATCCTATATCTATATATATATATATATAGAAGTGCGCTCAAATGAGAATGAAGCACAATGAAAGAAATAAGAATGATCGTAAACCATTGGATTTGTCTACAAAAATTACAACTCAAAGTGGACCCCACACCATCTCTCACACACTTAAACACACACTAATATCGGCACCCACGCACGCATTTCACACAGACACACACAGTCCACACACACAAACACACACTAGATCCGGCCACCATGACTCCCGCCGGCGATCGACGGCCGCCGCCCAACCATCAACCTTCCTCCTCCGCCTACCGTAGCCGACTTTGTCCACAGCCCCGTCGAGCATGTCACCGCCGCCTTGCCACAGACGCACGCAACCAACAGCTCCGACACACCCGCCAGCACCACCTCACATTGTCGCCCCTGCAAGTCGACAGATCGCGGTCATTTCGGCGTGTTGTCAGCCTCCTTACCGTCGAACTCCGTCGAGATGGCCGCGAGATTATCATATACAGCAGCCGAGTAATTTCCGGAAATTAAGATCCACAGATCCGCCGGTTAAATCGGAGCCGTCACCTTACTCGCCGGTCGCCGAGCAATCCGACACATTGGCCTGGTCGACTGGAAAACCGATCTTCACTATTTGGACTGATTAAAGCCGTATTTGGTGATAAGGATATTGAGTTTTTTGCAGGTGTTTGGGAAGATGAATTTGGGGGGTTGTTTTGGAAAATTTGATATGTTACAAGGACCTTATTGCAATTTCTTAATTTTAATAACTTTAAATTTGGTACATTAGGCAAATTGTAATTAATAAAAATCTAGAGACTTTGATGTAATTTCTGAGAATTTAAACATATACAATTTAGTTATTGGATAAGATTTGTAAATTAACAAAAATTTAATAAATGCACAATATTGACTAGTACAATGCACAATACAGTGAAAAGTTTTTCTTTTTGGAAATATTTCTCTCTCTACTTTGGAGATGGCCCCGTTCCTTGGTAGGAGATGACCCCGTTCCTTTGTTTAGGATCTCCGTTCCCGTTCTTATTGTTTTTTTCCTTTTCAGTTTCTCTGTCTCTTTGCTCCCTCTCTTTCTGTGCTTAGATATCAGTTGATTTTGCCTGTTATAGTCTTTGCTAGGGTTTTATTCTCTTTTTCCTGTGGCTTATTTAGGGTTTTACTTTGTCTTCTTCTGCAGGCATTCTGACTTCCTTAACGGCCCAGTAATCTTAAGTTCTGGTTCTTTCATATGGAGCAAGAAGTGATTGATAAATTTAGCAGGTTCGAACTATCGAACAAGGAGAAATCGGGCATTTCGCTGGAAAATACAGATATTGAACCTGGTCTTCTAGAATGTGAGAGAAGTCTAATTGGTAAAGTTGTAGGGGATAAGAAAATTAACTTGGCTGGTCTGAAAACTACCATGGGGTTCGTTTGGCGGACATCAAAGCCTTTCTCAATCAGAGTTATTGGAACAAATCTATTTCAATTCCTCTTCCAAGCCGAGACGGATAAAGATAGAGTGCTCAAAGGAAAAGCTTGGTCCTTCGATGGACAATATCTTCTACTCAAGGAATGGAGGAAAAATCAGATAGAATTTACGGCTGAGGAACTCAAAGTAGAATTATGGGTCCAGATACATCACCTTCCCCTGCATTGGATCTCTGAGGAGACCGGACTAAAGGTGGGCAGGATGTTTGGCAGAGTTAACGATGTAGTTATTCCGGGATTGGGCAGCCTTCATGGAAGAATAGTGAAAATTCTGGCAGAGATAAATCTTCTGGAACCGATCCCTCGGGGAACTAATCTGCGACTTGGATCAGAGGAGCATTAATAGAATTCAAGTATGAAAACCTGTTAACATTCTGTTTCTATTGCGGGAAAATTGGACATAATGAAAGGCAATGTGAATCGAAGAGAGAGGATCTTCATAGGAATGTGCTTAGGACATGGCAATTTGGGGAATGGCTTAGGGGTTCATATGGGGGAACATCTGATCCTAAAGAGAGAAATTCATCCACCCCCCCACCTGCCAAAATAACCTCTGATCCTAGTATAGCTAAAACCGCAGAAATTGTAGGATCTAACCCGAGTGAAAAAAGAGAGATCTTAGCCAGCTCTTCTTCTTTGCCTATCACCCCTATAGTTAATGAGAGTAAGGATAAAGGGAAAAAGCCTGTAGTCTGTTCTGAGGGTTCTGGGAAAGAAAGCCCTCATCAAGTGAAGGTTGTTGATGATTCTAGACCTGATAATGCAGTTCTTGTTTCTGATAAAATGGATCTGGACAGTGCTAAGCTTCCAGTCTTAGATAGTGGTAATTTCATAAACATCCCAATTCAGCAAGATAAGTCTCCTCCTTCTTGTGCTAAAAAACCTAAAACCTTCACTAGACTGGCTAGAAATAAACCGGTTTCTAAAGAAGCTCAAACTTCAGAACCAGTGATCTCTCCCATGATTTTGAAAAGAAAACTCCCTGTATCTTTGACTGATAGTCTTATCCAATCTGAATCCCTTCCTAAAAAAGTGAAATCTGTACAGACTGTTTCTAAAAATGTGGTGGAGGAAACCAGCCATAACTGGTCCCAAGTTTCCAAATGAGAGTCCTGGTGTGGAATTGTAGAGGTTTGGGAGGACCCTCTACAATTTCCGAGTTGAAGGACAAGATCAGAGCCTACCTTCCTGATTTTATCTTTTTGTCTGAAACCAAAAAACAAAAATCTTTTGTTCAAACTGTTTGTAAAAACCTGCATGTAGGGGATAGGTGGGAGTGTGTTAATCCCATAGGTAGTAGGGGTGGTCTTTTGTTGTGTTGGTCTGATAAAATTCAGGTTTTGGATATCATCAACAACCAATTCAGTCTTGAGGTCTGCTTTCAGTGTGAGGGGTTGTCTGATAAAATGTGGGGGGTTTTCCTTTATGCTAGTGTGGATCCCTATGTTAGGCAGAGTCAGTGGGAGATTTTGATCAGACATCATCTTGCCTGGGGTAGTTTGTGGTTTATTGGAGGAGATTTCAATGACATTCTCAACAACTCTGAGAAAAATGGGGGTATTGTTAGGAGTGAGGCTTCTTTTCAAAATTTCAGAAACTTTGTCCACCTTTTGGGTTCTGCTCAATGCCCTAGTCTAGGTCACCCATTTACTTGGTCCAACAACAGAAGGGGAGGTGATTTTGTGGAGGTCAAACTAGACAGAATTCTTTTGTCCCCAGAGTGGCTCATGAAATTCCCTAAGGCTAGTGTCCTGCACATTCCCCTTATCTCTTCAGATCATTGCCTTTTACTTATGGACAATATAGGGACAGAGCAGAGGAGCAGAAAGAAATTCTCCTTTGACAACAGGTGGGTGAAAGAGGAAGGTTTTAAGGAGTGTATTACAGCTGCTTGGAATGTGGAAGTTAATGGCCCAGGGTTATACAGCTTTCAAAAGAAATTGAGGAATGTCAAGATGGGGCTACTGGGTTGGTTAACAAGCAGAACTTCTAATTCTTCCAAAATTATAAAAGAGTGTAATGATAAACTGGCCATGTTATGTTTACAAAGTGAAAACAAAGATTGGGACGAATGGGCCTCTTGCAAGAGAAAAGTGCAACAAGCTTACAAGGATGAAGAGCTTTTCTGGAAGACAAAATCAAGAGTGAGGTGGCTAGCTGAAGGTGACCAGAATACCAGGTTCTTCCAAGCCTGTGTTAGGCAAAGAAGAAGTGGGAACAGTCTTGAAAACTTGATCAAAAGAACTGGGGAAAGATGTGCAACTCAGGCAGATGCTGTAGCTGAAGTGACTGATTACTTCCAACAACTTTTCACCTCTGAAAACCCTGTGAATGATGAGGAAATTCTGCTGGGCATCCCTAGGGCAATAACAAATGAAATGAATCAGAACTTAACAAAACCTGTGGATGAAAAGGAAGTCAAGGATGCACTGTGGGAGATGGACCCCGGTAAAGCCCCAGGTAATGATGGCTTCTCCCCTTCTTTTTTTCAATCTTGCTGGTCCATAATCAAAGCTGATTTGTGTTTGGCTGTGAATAATTTTCTATCCTCGGGCTGTATTCCTAAAGCTACTAATCACACAGTCATTACTTTAATACCTAAAAACAAAAACCCCAAATTTGTTTCTGATTTTCGGCCTATTAGCCTTTGTACAGTTACCTATAGATTAATCTCCAAGATTCTTGCTATTAGACTTAAAGGTGTGATTAGGTTTTGTGTTTCCCAGTCTCAAGCCGCTTTTGTGCCAGATAGGCAAATCCTTGATAATATCATCATTGCTAATGAATGTCTTCATTTTCTTAATAGCAAAAAAAAAGGAAAACAAAAGTTCATGGCCCTTAAAATTGATATGGCCAAAGCCTTTGATAGAGTAGAGTGGAGTTTTGTTATCAAAATCTGTAAACATCTGGGGTTTTGTGATAAGTTTTTGAGGTGGATTTGGTCTTGTATTTCATCTTCCTCCTTTTCATTTAACTTCAGTGGCCAAAACTTAGGTAAAGTAGTTCCCTCCAGAGGAATAAGGCAAGGAGATCCGCTATCTCCTTACCTTTTTATTATTATTACTGAAGCACTTTCGAACCTTATTCATAAAGCATGCCTTTCTCAGTCTTTCAAAGGGTTAAGAATCAGTAAATTTTCCCCTAGCATATCCCACCTATTTTTTGCTGATGACTCTTTAATTTTTTGTCAAGCTGATGACCACCATGCATCTGTTTTATTGAGCATTCTGACTTCTTATTGTGCAGCCTCAGGTCAGTCTGTTAATTTCCATAAATCCAACATTTTTTTCTCTGCCAATACCTCAACCCAAGATCAAAGCAGCATCTGTCAAATCCTTCAAGGGATTGTTGTGGCAAAAAAATCCAAGTATTTGGGACTTCCAATGGGGATAGGTAGGAACAAAAAAGAAACTTTTGCTTTTGTGAGAGAGAGTGTGATTAATAAAGTAACCAGCTGGAAAAACTCCTTCTTGAGTGAAACTGGAAAGGAAATTCTAATTAAAACTGTGTTATGTGCTCTTCCTTTATATGTAATGTCTGTGTTCAAACTGCCGGTGGGGGTATGTTTAGACATTTGCAGAGATGTGGCTCAATTCTAGTGGGGTAAGAAGGAAGATGGGGGAAATAGAATACATTGGGCCTCTTGGAGCAGATTAGCTATCCCTAAGTTAGAAGGAGGTATGGGGTTTAGAGATCTTAGTCTCATGAATGAAGCCCTTATTTTGAAACAGATTTGGAGAATGTTGACTAAGCCTAATACTCTTATGAGCAGAGTGATGAGAAGTAGATACTGTCTGAAGCAAAGTTTTTTAGAAGTTAGGAAAAAAGACTCTGACTCTTGGCTGTGGAAAGGGTGGCTTGAGTGTAGGACTTCTTTAGCTCTGGGTTTGAGATACCAAGTTGGGAATGGGCAATCAATTAGGGTCTGGGATTCCCCCTGGCTACCTAACTCAAATCATTTCAAACCAACTTGTTGTTTTGAAGGTGACAGAATTAAACTGCAAAGGGTGACCTTATGATTGCAGGTGAAAACAAATGGGATACTGATCTAATCCTTCAGACTTTCACCCCTATGGATGCAGATCTCATTTTGAAGACTCATATCAGTAGCCAGAATATGAATGATAAACTGATTTGGCACACAGATCCAAGAGGGCAATTCTCTGTGAAGGCAGCCTACAATGCAATTCTTCAATCAAAGCTGAGACAGAATGAGAGGGCTGGAAGCAGCAATGGAGACAAAGCAAAGCAGGAGATGTGGAGAAGACTATGGAAGTTAAAAATCAAGCCAAAGGTTAGGAACTTCCTGTGGAGATGCATCCACAATTGGGTGGCCACCATGTGTAGATTGAAGGAGAAAGGAGTACAGGTAGATGTCATATGCAGTATTTGTGGTGAAGCTGAAGAAAACCTAGAGCACATAATGTTCTTCTGTCCTAGAGCACAAAGGGTATGGAAGCTTGCAGGCCTCAAATGGAACTGCTTGGAAGATAGGCAGACTACTTTTCTGGATTGGTGGCTGACTCTGAACAGCATGAGCACCTCTGAATACAATAGAGACAGAATTTCACTATCCACCTATCTCCTTTGGTGGATGTGGAAAACAAGGAACACTTGCCGGTTTCAAAATGTTCTATTGACTGAACAACATTTAGTCTTGGGAGCAAAATTGGAGTGGATGGAATTTGATGACACTAAATATGGTAGAAAGCTGTTTCACCAAGAGCTGCAAGAACATGTCAAAGGCCAGGATCCTTCTGAGATGCTAGGATTAGGGGACCCCTTAAATAATCCCAGTTCTTCTACATCTCAGCAAGTTGATTGGTGCATACAAGGAGTGGCTTTAATGAACAGCTCTGAGGTGGCATTATTGTCTCAATCTAGGGATGCTGCTCATAAGCAACCAGTGGATGTGACTCTATTTTGCATTAGAGAATGGTTGGAGAAGGGTCTGCAACTAGGATGGCAAGAGGTGAAGCTAAGGTTCACAGACAAAGATTTATTCCAAATGATATCGAGCAACACCCTATGCAACACGAAATTTGCTGTCCTGGTGGATGACATTAGATCCATCTTGCCTCTTTTTCCTCAGTGTGCTCTTATAGATTGTACTTAGTGTCTAAAGTTCTTTAGTCTTTTCTTTTGTTTGTGGTTTAGATTTTCTGTGGTCTCTTCTGTTTTGTCTGTTATGTTTTGCTTTTGGGTGTCATGACCGTGCCTGGTCTCTTAGGGTAGCTTGATTTTCGAGCGATCCCGTATTGTACCTCGTCCTAGCTTGCTTGGCAGGGGTGTATTTGTGGCCATTTGGCTACCGATTTGTACATTTCAGTATTTGTGATATAAAATATTTGATGTTNAAAACAATGCACAACACAGTGGATGTATATGCACATCAAAACAGCAAAATAAAAGTAAAAAATATGTTGGATTTTCTATTTTAGGCAAACCGTACACACCAATATCCGTTCTACGTAATGCACAATATAGAAAACTAATAGCACGTTAACGATTATAAAAATGCGCAATGACATAACGATATATCTTTTCATTGTTTTTCATGGGCTCGATGACCGGAATATAAGCTAATGTGCATTTTCATATGCATTAATGTGCAATCGGTACAATTATATTGTGCATCCACGGGACCATGTCTGATAGTATTGTGTATCCTCTCAAGTTTACCAAAATGGCCCCGCGATAAGTGTTTTTCATCTACCGAACCGGCTGACCGAAGTAACCTCGTCGAACTTTTGAAAAAAAATAAACAAAAAAAAAACCAAAAATAAAATGAATCCACTAACCTTTTGTCCTAAACGAATCCAAATACGAACCAACATATATGATTATTCGGTCAGTTATACGAATTAATTAATATTACCAAACTAATTAATATTTATAATATTCAATATATTTAGCAGTTTAATATTTTATATTATTTATCTTGGATAAAATACATAATATATATATAATAATAAAAATAACTATTGATTACATGGTCTGGTTGTTTCAGATAAATTGATTATTTTTAAAACAAAGTCGATATCGAACTAAAATAACCAAAAATTTAAACGTCAGAAACCGAAAAATATGGAAATTTTTGATTTTTTTCGAATAGGGCTAATTTAGTCATTAATGTTACGCTAAAGTGCAGTTTCATATACACTATTGTGTATATTGTCTATCACTATTGTGCATTATACAGTATAAACTATAAACAACATAATGTAGAAATTGTGCATTTATTAAAGTTGTATCAAATGAACATAAAATTGAATCGAAATAATATGTTTATACTGTCGGTTAACCGAATTAACCATAATAACCAAAAGAAAATAATATATTTTGTGTTGTTGATATCTATAACTTATATTTTATATTTTATTTTATGTTGAAATGAATGATTTTGTATATAAAAATATAAATTCGACATCGAACCTAAATAATTTAATTAAAAATAATAACAAATAATCGAATCGAAATAACTAAAATTTTGAAAGTTAAAAAACATATATATATATATATGTGTGTGTGTGTGTGTGTGTGTGTGTGTGTGTAGTCATATAAACATTCGGTCTGAATACATTTATTACGATATTGTGCATTATCACGTAGATTAATGTGCATTTTTTCTATCACTATTGTGCATTTATACAATACATGTACTTTTATAATGGATATTTGCATTTATACAATACATGTATTTTTATAATGGATATTTGTACGCATATTGTGCATTTTACTTATCAACAACGTGTATTTATTAAATTTATAATAAATCACAGATTTAACACATAAGTTAAATTGCAATCTATTAGTCTTGAAATTACAATTAGATCCTCACAACTTATCAAATTTTCAAAATTAAACCCCAAAATCTTAAATGACTGAAACTTATATTTGTCACGGAGTGCGCGAATATTAGTACGAACTACAGTAAGAATTGTAAAATGCGGAAGCAAATAACCGAAGATTAATAAACTCTTCAGGGAAGCGTCCCACTTCCCCTCAGAGCTCTTTCATTGATAGATCACTCGTATACATAGTTTGGACTTACAAAGATTCGAACTCCCTTCAAATCTAGCCAACACTACTTGATCCTATCAACTAATCCTCCGGCCACATCCCGTGGACTTAAACACCTACACTTATTCCCTAAGTGTACAAACCGTAAAATAGTTTTGATGAAATGTATAAAAAAAAACTAAATGAAAGCAGTACTAGTCCTTGAGTTTGTAAGAACTCTTAGACTGAACTGAATACAATCAAAAATAGAACCGAAATCAAGTGAAGCTTGAATGGCTCTCCAATATTTCTCAATATCAAA